AACAGTGTATTTGTCAATTTCACTGTACATAATTATATCTCAATAATACCAACTGAAAAAGACATAAAAATCCCAAAATATTTAGAGATAAATTTAATATAAATTTATATGAAAGTGCAAAGGACCTAGATATATTTTTGTTTATACTGTAAAAATATAAAAATGTATTTTAGAAAGAACAAAGTTGGCAGACTGTCCTAACTATCAAGGAATGTAGTGAATTTATAGCAGTAGTGCTCACCTGGGGCCAGTTTCCCCCACGGGGAACATTTGGCAAAGTTGGGAGACATTCTTCATTATCATTACTCTGGAGGGAGGAGAGCAGTATGATATTGACAAGTAGGGGTAGAGACCAGAGGTGCTGCTAAACATCCAGTCGTGCACAGGACAGTGTCCCACAGCAAAGAACTATCTGGCTCAAAATATCAACAGCGCCAAGGCTGAGAAACTGTGGTCCACAAGAAGGCAGTGACTAGAGATCAGAGGAACAGAACAGAGAATCCAGGTATGAATCCACATGTATATCACTGGTTTTTAACAAAGATGCCAATGTATAGCTGGATTCTCTGTTCTGTTCCTCTGATCTCTACTCACTGCCTTATGGAGGACCACAATGTATAACCAAGTCTATACACTGGCATCTTTCAAAAGACTTTGAAAGAAAAGTCATTTCAGCCAGTGGTGCACAATAGCTATCCAAATGGAAAAAAAACAGATAAATCTTGCTCCCCAACTCAAATAGTGTCAATGAACTCAAATGTAATCACAGGCCTAAATATAAAAGCTAAAGCTATAGGAAAAAAAAAAGGAAGAAATGTTCACAATCTTATGGCAAGCAAAGATTTCTTAGATAGGATACAAAAAAAAAAAGGAAAAAATAAATTAGATCCAATCAAAATTTAAAATTTCAGTTGTTTCCTAGAAATACTTTGTTAAAAGTATAAAATAAAAGTATAAAATAAAAAGTCAAGGCACAACCTGGGAGAAAACATTCACTATACCTATTCTGACAATGAACTTGTATTTAGCATACACAAAAAGCTCTTACAACCCAACAGTAAGACAATCTTAGAAGAAATGGGCAAAATGAAGATCATAGTGGGACAGCATAAGCTCACTATGGCACATTCTTCCCTCTCATTATACCAAAAACTCTACACAAAATGCAAACACTAGCACTAGAGAACTCTAAAAAGTAAACAAAAACATTGTGGATGAGAGGTAAAATTACTTGGATTTAGACAGTGATCCATGTAGGGGAGAGTTTACCAGGTTCTCTCTCTCTCTCTCTCTCTCTCTCTCTCTCTCTCTCTCTCTCTCTCTCTGCCCTCTCTGTTTCTGTTTCTTTCTCTCTCAGCTTTGCCCAGAGGGCGTACTCTAATTATACAACAGCAATGCAGTGGTGGCAAAAGGATGGTTACTATAGAAGAAATCTGGTATTTCTGGTCAAATGATTCAGGACAGAGGCCCTGGAAGGAAACAGAACATGAGGACATCCAGGAGGGAGGGTAGCCAGAAGAGCAGTCCTCTAATTCTGTGAATAAATACTTACAAGTCTCAGCCTAACTCCTGAGTTATGCTTGAGTGGGATAGACCTAAACCAACATAACAAACCTTTCAGAAAGAACTAAACTGAGATTTAAACCGTGTGTAATCTTTTTAGCCTAATTGCTTAATAATGCATGCAAAAAACAGACCCAAATGAATACAGTGAAAGCTTAGAGAACTGAGATTTGTACCACTGTATACAAAAGGCAAGACAGAACTTGCAGCTCAAATCTAACTAAATTGATTGTCTGATAAAACTAAAACATCACCTCTCTACAGAGGATTATGTGCCTGACCCAAAGTCTACATAAAATGATTTTCAAAATGTCTAGGACAATCTAAAATTACCTGGCATACAAATACCAGAAGAATGTGACTACTTCTCAAGGGAAATGACAACAAATATCAATCCCAAGGTGGGCCATGTGTTGGAATTATCATCAAAGACTTCGAAATGCTGTTATGTGTATGTTCCATGAGGTTAAGAAAAACACATTTGGCATGAATAAAACTAAGTTCTCAATAGAGAAATAGCAACTATAAAAAAAAATGTTAGGACTGAAAAATATAAAATCTGAAATTAAAAAAATTTCACTTGATGATTTCAGTAGCAGAATGGTGATGTCAAGAGGAAAGAGTCTGTGAGCTTAAAGATAGATCCATATTATTTACACAGTCTGAAGAACACAGAGGAAAGATTAAGAAATAAATGAACAGAGCCTCAGAGATCTGTGGAAACACATAAAGAAAAATCTAACATACATGACATTGGAGTCCCAGAAGGGGAGCAGAAATAGGCTAAAAAGAAAAAATCTTGACAAAACGAAGGAAGACTTAAAGCTTCCTAAATGGGGTGAAAAACATAAGTCAATGTACTTAAAAATGTAAACGTACTTAAGAGACTCTGAAAACCCCAGAAAAGATAAGGTCAATGAAAACCATGCCTAGACACATTATAAAGTGCTAAAAACCTTATCCACTACCACTTACAAAGGATAAAAACATCTTCAAAACAGGTAGAGAAGAATGACACATTGCATACAGTAGAATAATGACAGGGGTCTATCCATGCAGTACAATAGTGCTCAACAAAACAGGAACAAACTATTCACTCATGCAACAGCATAGATTACTCTCAAGAGCATTATGCTAAGAGAAATCACATAAAAGCAAACACTTTTGATTCCATTTATATAAAATTCTAGAAAATGTGAAATAATCTAGAATGTCAGAAGATCAGGGGTTGTCTAGGGAAGGGAATGGAGGGAAGATGGATTATAAGAGTAAATGAGGAATTTTGGGGGTTGATAGAAATATTTGTTATCCTGACCATGGTAATAGTTTCTGAGGTGTGTACATATGTGAAAATTGATCAAATTCTACACTTTGAAACTATGTAACTTATTGTACTTTAGTTATAACAATCAAGTTATTAAAATGGGGAAAAGATGTAGACACTTAAATGAAAATATACAAATTGGCAATATACACATATAAGAAATGCTCAACATCACTAGCCATCAAGAAAATGCAAATGAAAACCGTCATGCTATCTATACACCCACAAGAATGGCAAAAGTTAAAAAGTGGTGTTAAGACTGTGAAGAAACTGAAACTTTTACACATTACTGTTGGGAATGTAAAATGAATATATCATTTTATAGGCCGTAAAATGAAAAGTTTGGCAGTTTCTTATTTAGTTAAACATACATTTACCATGTGATCAAACTACTCAAATCCTAGCTATTTACCTAAGAGGAATGAGAACTATATCCACTCAAAGACTTATAAGTAATTATTTCTAGCAGCACTCTTCACAATGGAAACAGCTAGCTGGTACACACAGAAGATGGTTAAGCAAAGTGTGTTACATCACATAACAGTATACTGCTCCTCAATAAAAGGGAGCAAACTACGCCACAAAAGGATGAATTTTAAAAACATAGTGCTGAAAAACAGAAGCTCACTAGTCACAAAAGAACATGTGCTGTGTGATTCCGTTTATTCTAGAACAGGCAAGATGAATCTCTAGTATCAAAAAGCATATCAGTGGTTGCTTGGGGTTGGGAAGCAAGGGAATGGATTAACTGAAAAGAGGCATTTCTATGTATTAATTTCCAGGTTGTTATTTGGTGTATAGATTCATGAACAGTACATTTTATGGTATATGTAAATTAGCCCTCAATGAAGTTGAATTTTTAAATGGTGATGATACAAACATGAATTAAATTTATATAAAACTAAAGAGATCGAAATAACATGGTATTGGTACAAAGAGGGACAGAGAGATGGATACAAAAATAAATTATAGAAAAGGACTTGAGTTTGTAATAGTTAAGAATTTAGAATGTGTCTATTTTGGGTATTTCAAGTCAGGTTGGGGAAAATTAATTTATTCTTAAATGATGTTGAGTCAAGTGACTATTCAAAATATAAAATAAAATTGGAGGTGTATCTATTACCACTTACCAAAAATAAATTCTATAAGAAAGAAAATGACCCAGGAGTAGATGGGCCCCAGGGTCTTAGGGCACAGGGTACAAAGATGTGGAGAACTGGAGATGCTGAGCCTGGAGAACCCAGCTGGGCCACTCCTGGCTTGGAATCCAGTCCTGGGGAAGCCTGAGGGCCTGGAGATGTCCCAGCCTTCTGACCTTCAGTGGCATTTCAAGGCTCTCTTGCCTCAAGCCCTAAGGCTAGAAACTAACTCTGGAGCCCCCTTTTCAGGCTGGTTCACCTTCCTGTCCCAGCACTGAGGCTCAACTCTCCAATCTGCAAGATGGCATGACAGTGGAACACTTCCTGACTTGAAGGTTTGCAGAGAGGACCACATGTCACACCACGTGGGAACTGCCCTGGGCGGTAGCTGACACTTAGGAGCACCAGGCCTGGGAGAGGATCTGGGGACGGTGGCTCTGTGGGAGAAAGCAGGTGTCTCACATCATCAGCCCTCCCATGACTGGTCCGCTTCTTCTTGTGTCCTGCCAACAAGTGACAGGAGAAGAGCCGCAGAGGAGAGGCAGCTGAAAGCTAGTGGCAAGGGCAGAGAATGATGTCTCGGCCACACCCCGAGGGGACTGAGGCACCCCAGAGAGGAGCGGCTCATGCAACTCGCCCCAGGTCCCTGGACTTGGTGGAACAAATCCTTGGGCCCTTCCTGACCCATGCACTGGAGGCGCTGAGTCATTCTCACAGTCTCTGGGCAGAAGCCCCCGGTGGGTGAGCTCACTGGCCCCCAGTCATGAAGAACTGATCAGATTCCAGAAGACGTGTGCATTCTCTTTGTTTCCCTTGAGTCTCCTGGGGAGACGTGGATTCAGCTGAATTAAGAGACAGGTGATGATCACAGGTGTTGGATGCTTGGATGGAGTCTCCATGGCAACAGAGCCATCTGGCTTTCTCGCCTGGCATCAGGCTTTATGACTTCATGGTGGTGTCTTCTCTCAGCAGGCAGAGGGGGGTTTGCCAAGGTGAAGAGGAGGCTGGGAGGAAAAGAGGACGGCTGAGGGAGGCTTTGTCTTTTTAGCCGGAGTTTGACAATTAGGCTTCATCGTGTCTTGACACGGTGCTACGGCTGACCCCAAAACAGGACGCAGGAGGTGGCGCTCAGTAGAGACCGTGAGAGGCACTGTGCAGGTGCCATCTTGCTGAGGCCTCCCAGGGGAATTCAGAGGACACCTGGCCTCCTTCAGTCCAGGACTCACTGCTGAAGTGGAGCCGGGGCCCTGGCAGGAAAGAATGAGGTATGGGAGGGCTGCTGGCCCGCCACAGGGAGAGTCTGTGTTGTCCAGTGCCCACTGGATGGCAGGAGGGGTAGGGCCTTAGGTGAGCCCCACCACAGAGCGAACCTCATTCATGGCAATGGGCCTGTCTCCCCAGGCCGCTCACCAGGTGGTGCTGGAAGAGCCCTCAAGCCTGTACCAAATCCATTTATCCCCACAAATGAGCCATCCAACAAACCTGCACCTGTTAGTGTCCTAGGGCTGCCAGAACAAATTAACACAAACGTGGTAGCTTAAAACAATGCACATGTATTCTCCTGCAGTTCTGAAGAAGTTTGAAATCAAGGTGTGGGCAGGTTGGTTCCTGCTTGGGGGCTTGGCAGGGGAATCTGCTCCCCATGCTCCCTCCTAGCTTCCAGGGATGACGCAATTCTTGATGTGCCTTGGCTTGCGACAGTGTCACTCCAATAGCTTCCACCATTGTCATGTGGCATTCTCCCTGTGTGTCCGTGTCCAACTTTCCCTCAGCTTATAGGGACACATCATGGGATTCAGGGCCCACCCTAACCCAGTGTGACCTCATCTTAACTTGATTGCATCTGCCAAGATCCCATTTCCAAATAAGGTCACATCCACGAGTGCCAGGGCTTAAGACCTGAACATGTCTTAGGGGGGACGCACAACAACAGATGATTCACAGCGAACAGAGCACAGGCTTCAGAGTGGGTCAGGCCTGGGCATTGCCATTTAGCCTGTCCCATCTCCTTGGTACAGCGAGGTTGGGAAGGCAAGTCATCCCAGTGGGCTTCCTAAGGATTACCTGAGAGAGGATCACAGAGCTCTGTGGAGTGTTTGGGAGTGGTAGAGACTCAGCAAAGATGGCCCCGAGCTGGGTCTCTGGGACTTGGAGGAGGGAGCTTGGTCCCAGCTCACCAGAAACTGGCAGTTTATGGGCCAGTAGGCACTTACCAAGGGGTCTGGCTTAGGGTGGGGACCTCAGTGGTCAGGCTGCCCGCAGGAAGCTAGGGGAGAGCATGGACCACAGGAGCATGTGTCAGGGCGGGGACTCAAGGCCCAAAGGCTAGGGTGGGAGTTGGGAAGGCCAGGGTGGGAGTCAGGAAGGCTGGGGGCCAGGCTACCATAGGTCCTTCCATGAGCCCGGAGTCCACAAGTGGAATGGCCTGGGGGCTTTCTCAGGATCAAAGGAGCCACCTGCCATGTTCCTGATGGGCTCCGGGTCTGGGCCTGACAGGCAACGTGGGAATGAGCTCCCTTTTCACTACCAGGTACTCCGAGCCATGCATCCCCTCTGGGCCTAGGAATTAATTCCTCATTCCACTTCCCCATCCTCTTCCCGAGACGTGACTTTCCCCGCTATCACCAGGGAGTCTGCTAAAGACTTCCTTCCTGGCTGAAATGTTCTCTTTTCGTCTACCTCTTTCCTTCCTTCCTACCCTTCTTTGCTTTCTTCCAGTACTTAGTGTCTACCATATGCCAGGGTTTTTCTAGGCCTTCGGGACATAGAAGTGAACTAGACAGATGGTCCCTGCCTCGGTGGAATTTGTAAATAACAGAATGAGAGATGTCAATCAAGAAACCACACAGTTGAATGTTTCACAGCAGAGGAAGGGGTGTTCTGAATGAGGGGTATGAGGGTGGCAGCAGTCAGAAGAAGGTGATGCCACTAAACCAGGCATGTAAGGGAAGTGACCTTAGGCAGGCACTGAGGAAGTCACCACCTAGGACAAAGGAGGGGAAGAGACTTTGGGCAGGAGCATTACCCCATGCAGAGGCCCCATGGTGGGAGGGTGCTTGGTGAGTGAGATGGACCCAGAGAGGCTGTGTGGCTGGAGTGGACAGAGCGAAGGGAATATGAGGTGGGTTGAGAACCAGCAGTGCAGTTGAAGAAGTGTCAGTTGAGTGCCTGTTATGAACCAGAGGCACCAGACACACAACACAGATCAAACCACCCCAAATGTAAGGCAGATGGACCATAGCCCCGAAACAGCAGTCCAGTGATGAAGTGATCTGGAGGAGGAAGCTCGGGGAGGCTGGGGCTGGGAAGGCCCTTCTGAGCTGAGAGTCCAGGAGCAGATCTTGGCATAGGCTCTAAGGCAGGGCCAAGCTTGGTGTGACTGGGGAATGGTCAGAAGGCCTGTGCGCTTGAGCAATCTAACCATGGTTGAGGGCCATGGCTGGCTTTTCACAGAAGAGAGCCACAGTCAGGTTTGGGCTTTGTAAGACAGGACTGCAATGTAGACAGGGACTGGAACAGAGCTGGCGTGGCTAGGAAGTCAGGGTGCAGTACCAGATGGAACACCCTTCCCTCCGCAGATGTCCCAGCAGAACTGTGAGGCTGAACCTGGAGCCCCAACCTCTCCTAGCCTCCTGGAAGAGGATGACCCAGGGCCCCTGTCCTGGCAACAGCAGGCCACCAGTTCAAAGGACAAGAAGCCTCTAAGCTCCCTCCACCTTTCACATAAGGCCCAGTTGGCCTTGGAGTACCTGCCTTTCTTCCGCACCTATGGGTGCCTCCTGGCAGAGGAGGGGTTGGTCATGCAGCCCGAGACACCACTCCAGGAGGACTCAGAACTGCTTGGCGGGTTCTTCCTTTACTACCGCTCTGAGGAAGAGAGTTTGCCCAGCCTGACCCTTCCTGGCTGGTCACACAGGCGCTCCCAAGACCCACCCACTGGGAGGGAGGCACAGGCTGGCTGCTTCTGCAGGACAACAGTCAGGGACGAATGCTCTGTGAGTTGAGGAGGCCATGGGGTGGGTGGCGGGAGCAGCACCAGGCTCTACATCCTTCAAACCTCTCTGTCCTGGGGCCCAGACTCTAACATGTCCCTAGACAGGCCCCTCTCAGGGCTGCTGGGGCTCTTGGAGCAAGGTATCACTGGTTGGGAGCACAGGGACTCTAGGAACACTGTCCTGTTCAAGCCCAGTTTGACCACCATGGAGGAAAGTGGCCTGGGGAACATGGTTTCCTTATAAGAGAATAGCCGCAGGAACAATCGAGCCATTGTGACAATTACATACAACCACGCACCCAAAGTACTAAGCGTGACGGTGAGCTCACAGAAACATTTATTTGGTTCTTGTGGCTTGCTAGGCTCTCAGACAAAGGTTTCATTAGCATCATCTCATTTAATCCTATTAGTAATCCTATAAGATAGGCCGTACTGTAATTCTCATTTTATGAGTGAGAAAATGAGTCTCAGAGAAGGTAAGTGACTTGGCCAAGGGCACATAGCTAGCAAGTAGCAAACCTGAGATGTGACCCAAAGCCTGTGCCCTTTAAGATTCCTAATCACCACCGTGCAGCTGGGCACTGTGGCCGTGACTGCAAAGACAGGAGGTAAGGTGGGTGAGTTCTAATCCCAGACACACCTCTCCCAGCACGGTACCCTAGGATTCGTGAGTGACATCGCTGAGTGCTTCCCGGGCTGTGGAGCAGACATGGACCTGTCCTCTTCCGGGACTGCCACTGTGGTGTTGCAAGCACAGGCTGCCCCTGGGTATCTGGGTCTGAACCTGGAAGTGGGCTTGCATCTGGCTGACCCTCTTATTCCTTCGGACCCAGGCTGCCTTGGCACACTCGTACCTCATCTCTGGGTCCTCACATTCACTGGGCTGCTGCCCTGTCCTGCAGGTCTCGGCAGGGTGTCCCCATGACAGTGACCTGGATGCCGCTCTCTCCAGGGACCATGGCCTTTATGCCTCGGGATTTGTGCCTTACTACAGAACCCCTGAGGAGCGCCTGCACATTAGCCCTGGGCCTCCTGCCTCTCCATCTGGGAGCCAGGGGTCCTCAGAGGCTGTCCAGGCCTGGTGCAGTCACACCGCAGGAAGGCTGGAGCTGACTGCAGCAGAAGCCACTGGAGAGCAGACCCTCGGCACCCACTGACCATCAAGGGATGAAGGTGACTGGGGGGAGGCTCCCGTGGGTCAGTCAGTTTGCCCTGGGACCAGAGCTGGCCTGGGACCCCAGCCCTCAGGCCTGAGTTCTCTCTCAGTGCCCACGAATAGGGATGGGGGGCATCCTACCTCCCTGCCCAGCAGAGCCAGCAGAGCCAGTGGGAAGAGCCCAACCCCTGGCAGGTTCTCCCAGCCCCTCTCAGCCCACCAGGCTGCTCCCTGCCAGCATGAGGCATCCCACTATGCAGGCCTGGGTTTTGCCTTTCTCCTCAAGGGGCAGAAGGGAGACACTCAGCCTGTGCCCCACGTTCAGCCATTCCACGCCCAGGAAGAGACCCGTCCCACCCCAGGCTGCCACCTTCCTGTTCTAGCTGGAAAAACTGCCACGTGAGAATTGAACAGCCACACCAAAAGTGGCTTCGCAAAGGAGTGTCTGTCCTTCCCAGCACTCTGACCTCAGACCATTCCTTTTGTAGCCTGTCCTAAGTGCAGACAGAGAGAGCAGGAGCCTCCTGAATGACCGAAGGGCACAGACACCCTGAAGCTGGTTTTGTAAATAAATCATATCACTGTAGAGGTTGGAGCTGGTGCACTAATTGGATGCTTTGGAGTAATACTTGTAGCTTCCATTTATTGAGCATTTACTTTGTATTAGGCACCTTATAGAGATCAAGGGTTAGAGAGACACAATCCTTGGGTGTAGACACTGGTGTCCTCCATTCTACAGCAGAGTAAACAGGCTAAGAGAGGTTAAGTAGGGTGCCTGAGCTCACACAGCTAGCAAACAGCCAGGAACAGCAGAGCTGGCATTCACACCAGCTCTGTCTGACCTCGGGCTGAGCCCTTCAGCACCTCCTCACTACATTCTTCCTCAGTGGGTCTATGCACAGCAAGAAATGAGCCAGGTGCTCACCTAGACCCAGGCCTCCCCTAGACCCATCCCACCCTCTCTTCTTCCTCATTGCCTCTGCACCTTTCCCTCCCCTGCCCCTGCCCCTGCCCCTGCCCCTGCCCCTGCCCTTGGGTGGAGTAGGTGAGGACGGTGACTCTGCATGTGTCTGCTAGGCCCTACCTCCTTGGACCCTGTGGACCTGTTTTCTGGCCCCCAATCCAATCTCCAACCCCAGGCCCACCCGGCACGTGGCTGATGCACACTGGCATGTTGAGAGTATGTGCTCATCTTGCCCGCTCCAGGCCAGACACCTAGATGCTGGCTCCTGTTTGAAACTCCTTTAGCACCAGCCACACTGACATGTCCCACGTTCACAGCCTCTCTGCTCCGTGGCACTGGTTTCGTGTCTCCTCCCCAGGTGTGGGGTCTTTGCTTGCTTTGACACTCACACACCTCTGACCACTGGATCCCCGCTCCTCCACCCGACGGCTGCTTGTCTGGAGTGACCTCACCTGCTCACCTGCTTCCCGAGGATGAGGATCTTGAGAAGGAGAGAAATCAACCCGTCACACTAGAGTTACAACAAAGACATTCTTTTTAGCAAATCTAATGTTTACTATTTCCAAGGCACTCCTATGACTTCCTGTTGGGTTTGGGGATTTGGGGTTTGGAGTACGACAGGAGTATAAAGAAATTAAGGTGCTCTTGCCAGGAAAACTCCTTGGCTTTGTTCTTGGGATGAGGCCGTTGGACTGTTGCCTTTTATTTTTCACAGGGCTGAGGCTGGGCCTCGTCAAAGAGCTGGCATCGGTGGGCCCTCACCAGCCCCAAAGGAACAGACGGGTCGGGAGGTATCTTTGTGTAATGTAGAAACTAGGGCCACTGTCTCATTGTGCAGCCCGAGGTGGGTCCGAGGCATGTCCCTTCTCTTCCTGTGGGTGCACAATCCAGAACCCAAGTAGGGCCGAGAGCCCTGCAGCAGCCTGTCAGCAGCCCCTTAGTGAGCTGGAGGAACCTCCCCTGCTCATGGGGCTGAAGAGACCCTCGGAGGTTTTCCATGCTGCAGAGCTCTCTTGAGGGAGGTTTGCAGGAAGGATTTGGTGCGGAAGAGATCCCCGATAAGGGGCTGACTCGGCTGGTAGGACAGTTTGCTTCTGGCCCACCCACAGGCCTTGGCTGGGAGCTGTCCACGTGCTGACCCAGACAGGAACACTCAGGACACACAGACCATAACAATGGCGAGGTTTGACTTGCTGAGGGTGTTACCGTGTGCCCGTCATTGTGCTGAGCACTTGACATGCATTGACTCATGGAGTGTGAGTTAAGTGTAGCTTGAGTGAGGTAGCTATCACCCCCATCACACAGATGAGGATGTCTAGGCACAGTAGATTAAATGGCCCAGTGAGCTCCTGCTGGGGAGGCTGAACTGCCTGCTCTCAGGTGGTGTGTTCAGGATCACAGCCCTTCTGAGGCACAGGCCTCAACTTCCCTGGGGCAAACCCACTAGGTCCCTGCAGAGAACAAATGCTGGTTGCAAGGAGCCTGAGCCAGCCTCCGCATGGGCTATGGAGGTTCATCCAGGTCAGATGCAGTCGGCCCCAGAGATGGGCCTTTGATCCACTCACAGAGCAGCAGCAGGACTGAGGACTGCCGCTAGCCTGCAGACTCCACTGCCCACAGAATCATGGCCTAGCTCTTCCCTTGCCATTCAGGATCCTCAGGAGCCAGACTCCAAGACTTCCAGCCTCCCCTCCCATAGCCATGGGGTTTTGGGCAAACAAAACTTCCTGACTCCCCTTGCGTTCTCCCACCTGGTGCTGCTCAGATGTGCTCCTTTTCCTTCTCATCAGAGTCAACCTGAGAGTTGAGGCTGGCTCTGTGGACATTTGAGAACAGGAAATGCTGCTGTCCGCCGGCGTGAAGGCCAAGCAGATCAGCAGACCTGGTAGTCCAGGTTGAGTATCCCTCTGCCTGTGTGCCCTTCTCCACTGCTCACAACTTAGCTTGTCTTTTTAGTTCCAGCTCAAATGCTGCACCTTCCCAAGACTTCCGGGTCTGCCGTCCAAATTTCTGATGGCCCCTCTGGGCCTCTATTTGAGGCCAGGCCTGATGTAAGGTTTATGGGTCTCCCCCAGCCTGGCAGCTGATGTTTGATGAGTGCATGACAGAGGAGACCACTGCATGGCAGAAGAGGGAGTAAATGGTCCTCAAACACTGACTCTTCTGTCGCTGTCAGCACCCAAGCTCCTCCGAGTCCCAGGAAGTTTAGCACATAGCAGGTGCTCAGCCGGGCTTTCAGCAGCAGTGCCTCCTTCTATACTCCTGCAGGAACCCCTTGATGCCAAACCTCTCCAACCTGGGCTACCTGGTCCCCTGACCTGCCTGGCCTTTACTCAGGCAGACAGCAGCATTTCCTGTTCTCAGATGTCCACAGAGCCAGCCTCGACCAGCAGGTTAACTCTGATGGGAAGGGAAAGGAGCACACCCGATGTTCAAGCTGATATCACTGTAGCCCAGAATTTCAGAGTTCTATGGACCTGAGTTCACAGGACCCTGTCAGGGAGGAAAGGGCACTGGGATGGTACTGGGGGAAGGGATGCTTTCCTTCGATTCAACTGTTGCAGGAGTCCTATGAATATGACACAGTTGGACAGTGTTAATACCATCTCAGTGATGGTAGGGAAACTGAGGCAGAGAAGTTAGGACATTTATGCAGAGGGGTGGGGATGGGAGCAAGGGCCCTTGGAAAAGTCACATCTACTCTCTGAGTCCTGGCCAGGAGACAGCACTGGTTTAATAGCATGGGCCCTGGAGTCAAACAGAAGGTGTGACCGTAATCCTCCACTGACCGCTGCGTGGCTTTGGAGAAACCGCTTGACCTCCCCGGGCCTCATTCTTCTCACCTACTCAGTGGGGACTTGCCTCGGAATTCAACAAGATGGTGTAAACACAGCATGCAGCACTGGGCCAGCTTGGAGCCCTGAGGTGGAAGAAAGCCTGGGACATTCGAGGCTTCCACAGACCTACACAGGTGAAGAGATCAGGGTGTCACCTGCCGTCCAAGCACAGCGCCCAGACACCTCAGATGGGTTCTCATCAAGCCTCTCGGAGGTTTGCTCTGGCACCTCAGACTCCCCTCTGAGCCTTCTGGGCCAGCATCCCCTCCACGACCCACATATATACTGAGTGTGGCTCTCTGCCAGCCAGTGCCAGGGAAACTAGCCAGGAAACTCTTCCAGAGTGGGCAGCCACGCTTGTCTTCGCCGCCCGAGAGCCTCAACTGCTGTGCAGCAGCGCCCTCTCCTGGCGCATCTTGATGAGACCTCCACAGCTGATAATCTCCGTGGCCCGGAATTTCAGACTTCCCAGGACACCACCTCAGAGGAGATCGTCCATACCTTCCAAAAGATAGGAGAAGAATTGAGGTCTGGACTTTCCCAAGATGCCCAGTGAGGCAGCAGCAGCACTGGGACCAGAGCCCAGGCAGCCCAGCCTTCCCACCGGCTGCTTCACCCCTCACTTCGCAGCCACTTGCCTCTGTTTCTTGACTGCCAGCCTCAAACTGAACAGGTGATGGGCCAGACTCAGTCTGTGCATGCTCTGCACATACCTTCTCAAAGTGCCGCCAACAGAGGAAGAAACCTTGCTTCCAGTGAGAAGCTCGAAAATCACGTGTGCTCCTTTTCCTTCCCGTCAGAGTCGGGAGGGAGCTCAGAGCTCCTGTGGTCTGAGGCCAGGGCAGGAATGATGCAACAGGGGCAAACGCGCCACGAAGAAAGACAGCACAAGCCTGCGGTCCTGTTTCATTAATCCTTTGCACTCAGCCCTAATTGCTGCCTGCCTGCTCTGTGGCAGAGCCCGAGAATGACGTGGTGGCAGACAGGTCAGACGGGTCCTATCTTCCTGGAGCAACCAAGCATTGCACAGGGCTAAGCGCCACCGTGAGAGCTGGAAAAAGCAGCAGGCATGCCTTGAGAGAGGGCAACAAAGGCTTGCCCTCCTGTGAGGGGTCTGGGGAGGCCTCCTCATGCAGAAGATGCTTTGGCATAGATCTGAAGGTGGTAGGAGTTGGCCATGAGAAGAGCAGGGAGAGGGAGCTGCAGGCAGAGGGAGTGATCAGTGCAAAACCCTACAGGGGAAATGTGGCTGGTACCTTTGAGGGCCTGAAAGAAGCCAGGTTTCTGTGATGCTCCAGAAAAGGCCAGGGGGAGGCCTCATACCAAGGAGTGATATGGCCACCTCTTCAGCTCTGCCTTGTACCTGGACATCCTCCTTGTCTGCCAGCCACTGGCAGGCCCTTCAGACTTTGCTGCATGCCTCCCCATTTAAGGCATAGCTGACTGAGCAGTGACTGCCCATCAGGCCTGTGCCAGGCTCTGCATGTCCAGTGCAGAATGAGGCAGCATCCTGTTCCCAGTGGGCTCACAATCTGGATGGGAAGACAGACTATCAACCATTGAGTGTGACAGCAGAGATACAAATATTCTCAGAATATTCAGGAAACACAGCTGAGAGCTAGCAGATCCCGTGTGGCACAGGGTGATAAGGGCTTTGAGGAAGGCCTGTCTGGAGAAGGTGACAGCTGAGCTGAGTGTCAAAGAAGAAGGGTGCAGGGGTGAGTCAAGGGAGAAGGAGGGAGAGGGGTTTCCCGCAAGGGAATAGCGCATGTGCAGTCACACGCATGTACAGACTGTGGGATGCTGGGGTGAGAAGTGGAAGGGCAGCCAGACCCGGTCCCACAGAGCTACACACACCACACTGGGGAATTGAAATTTTATACTCAAGATCACAGAAAGTCATCGGAGGTCACTAAACCAAGCAGATTTAAGGTTTCAGAAGCTCACGGGGGCAGCAGCTGGAGGGTGGATGCAGGACTGGGCAGAGGGACCCAGGGGCCTGTGTCCACTATGATCCAGGCAAGGCAGTGGCACAGGCCTGGACTGAGCCACATCAGGAGGTGCCAATGAGGGATGGGTATCATTGAGGGGATGGACACTCAGGACTTTGTGCCTGGTGGGATAAGACCTTGGGAGAGAGAAACGGAGGATGGTATCCAAGGTGCTGGTTTGGGTGGCCACTGGGTGGAGTTGTGTTTCTCTACGTTGAAGAGGTACTGGAGGAGGAAGAGAGAGTTCATCGAGGGATGTGCTGAGCTGAGATGACCTGAGCCACCCAGGGGGAGGTGTTGAGTGGAGGGATGTCCGGACTCAGAAGCGAAGTGTGGGGGTTGTACGCTGAGAAATGGGAGGTACAGGTGGGTGAGGGTCCAGATGGGGTCCTGAGGAATCCTGGCCTAAGCATGAGAAGGGGACAAGGCACCAGGGAAGAAGATGAGAACAGCTGGGGAAGCGGGAGGAACGCTGGGTGAGGGCAGGAATCTGGAAGCAGACGGGAGCAGGTGCATGGGCAGGGCCTTCACCACAGCAGGTCAGGAACGCACAGCTGGCACAGGCTTTTGCTGCCCAAGTATGGCAGGTGGACATGGGGAGGGGACTCTTGGCTTGCTCAAGAGAGCGGTTGGGGAGATGGGAGCTGTGGGGCTGTGGAGACTAAAGGTGCAGTCAGGAGACTCCAGGTTTGGAGAACCTTCCCTGATTGCTTCCTGGAGAACAGTGGACTCCTTCTCCACTGCTCTTACAGCCGTCTGTGTAGCTTCTCAGACAGGCTGTCTCCTCTCAAACAGAGACTTTCCCAAAAGCAAGGCACTAGCACAGACTGGGTGCTCAGGAAATGTCTGTGGCCTGAAAGGGCAAATAAAAAATGGGGAGTGGACCAGTAGTTAGTAAATGCTATCAGCATAGCCCATCTGCATGCCCCGCTGCAGAGGAAAGTGCTGAGAGCTCACTATCAGGGGGGGAAATGAGGGAGAAAGGAAATGGGTTGCTTTCTGGCCCTAATCATGCAGGGAGTGGATGTCTCTGTGAAGTTTCTTTCCCCACGTAATGGCCAGTAGCTGCCCTGCCCTCTCCTGCGCGTAGAATGCAAATGTGAATGGAATGGCAGCACACTGCAAATGCTGCTCTGAAGTGCAAAGGCCAGGAAGAAGGGAGGGCCTAGATCCCTGCCACAGAGCCAGCATTTGGCTTGGACTCACAGCCCTGTGGTCTGAGACTCTGCAGGCCTGGCCAGGGTTGCTGGTAAACATAGGGTCCTCCCCCCACTTCCCTGGGTGATGCGCCCCATGGGCAGGTTTGTGGCATGCATTTGGGAACAGAGTACAGTAGTTCAATTTGGAAGGCGACCCACTCCCTCTGCTCTGCTCCAGCTCATTAGCAGTTCAAGCAGCAGCTTTCTGGGCTTGGGAGGCCCTGGGGCTGCCAGGGACACTGCCTGCCAACTTAAGACCTCCCTAATTGGTGCTGACACAGGACTGAGGGGATGACGATCTGCATGGCACTCCTTGGGTGGTCTTCCAAAGGAGTGGGCCTTGGGAATTGGCAGGCCCTCCACTTGTGGATTCATTCCAGTGGTGAACTCGCTAAAGGCCAGTCTTCAGAGACCTGCATTTCTCATAGCGGCCCTAGGCGTATATCCCGGGCATGGCAGGGCACAGCTTGGGGTTGATGCTGATGGCAACTCTGAAGCCTCAAGACTGAGTGGGTCACCACGTGCAGCAGGAAGCTGAGGCATGGGGATGGGATGTGACGGTTCCACTCCTCCCTGGAACTTTGTAAGATTTCCCCAGCCAGGCCGGTGACTCGATCCTGGGCTGTCCTGTCCAGACACAGGTCCACTCTCTGTGTGCCAGGGTAGGGGAGGGCTGGATGCTGCAGGAAGTTCCCTTCCACCTCCAAGTCCCCGCTCCTCAGTGGACAGCCCTTTGTAGGATCGAGCTTCAGTGGTCAGGCTCTTTGTTGCTTTGGAAGAAGGAGGTCTGGCGGGCTGTTGCTGCATGTCAACCTGGATGGCACGACATGGATATGCCCAGTAGGACAAGAACAGGCCCAGCAGAGGCCCCTTCCTCCTGACCATACTCCTCATCATTCTTGTCAACCTTGGGGTGTCTTGGCTGAGACCCACAGCTGAGTATCTGCTGGAAACTAGCAGAATGCTGGGGGACTTCGAGTCTTCTTGGGAAGGGAGGAAAGAAACTCTCATGGAAACAAAAACCTCTCCACGCAGCAGACCACTTCTCCAGTGGGCATGGACCTCTGGCCAGGGGCCTGGGTGAATGTAGGGTCTCCCTACAGAGGGAATTTGCGGTAGAGAGGACCACCCCTCTGCCTTCTGCTGGCCCAGGGTGGACAGTGTAGGCTGAGCCAGGGCCAGGCAAGGAGCTGGGCCCCTAGAGAGCTGTAGCTGAAAGTTAGACATGACCCTGGACCACCACGTGCTTGCTCTAGGCACGGGGCACTGAGTAGGACATGGCTGGGATGAACAAAAAGGCATCACTGCCCAGAGTTGGCATGGGAAAGAGTCCACCGCTGATTGGAATCAGCATTGTCAGCACAGCACAGGGGGATATGAGCACAGCCACCAAATGCCATCTCTGGATGGGCGGCTGGCACTTTCACTTCAAAAGCGCTGAGGCTATGAAGTTGGCAAGGAGGATAACCCAGAGAAGGGAGGACTGAGAGAATTCCACTCAATGACTCTTGCCTGTTTGACTCTGGGATGAGCCGCGCGGAGCGCACCCTTATCCGCGCGGAGTGCTGTGCCTTTAAGGTCCACTGGGGGCGTGTTGTCAGCCGCCCTCCGGCATTTGGAGAGGTGAGCGCGGCAGCGCGCTCAGCCGGTGTCTCAGGGGCTGGGTTTGGAGGAGGACCTGCGGTGTGCTCCTAGACTCCGACTTTCGTCTTGAGGCGCGTTCGCGCCCACGGGCCATGCCTCACCGACCGTAAGTGGGCACTGTCCCGGCTCCGGGAGAGCGAGACGCCGCGCGCCACCGGCCATGGGCAGCTTCCAGCTGGAAGACTTTGCGGCGGGCTGGATCGGCGGTGAGTGTGCTTACCGGGGACCCCCGGACCGAGAGAGCGAGGCTGGAGGAGTTTGCCTCCGTGCTCTGAGGAAACTTGGCGCCTCCGTCCGCTCTCAGCCCGCTTCCCGGTGCGCGCGCAGCCCGCTTCGGGGCCATCTGCCGGATGGTAATTGCCGGAGCTAAACTCGGAGAGCTTCACAGCGATTCGGGCTCGGCTTCTGATTTGCTCATTACGTTAGAATCCGCGGGACCTGAGGCGGTAATGATTAAACAGCCAGTCAAGGCCGATAGCCAATGGAGGCTCCTAGCGGCGCACACACCCTTCGGTGACCCGGTGCACACCTGAATTGCGGACGTGGCTGGCGGGAACTTATGTATGAAGGTGGCGCTTGACTGCTGACCCCGGGGCGAAGGGTGGTGGGGAGCAGGGCTTCGAGATCCGGCCGGCCTTGGGGGCGTCCCGACTGGAGGGAGCAGAGCGCTCACAGCAGGGAGCGGAGCGCCTGCTGCAGGTGCCTGTTGCCAGGCTGCGAAAAACACTTACTGCCTTCGGCCGCCGCCAGCCGTCAGCCATCGCCTACCTCCAAGGCCCCTCCTACGGCCGCGGTTGGGTCTGCTGGTCCCTTCACCACAGCTCCCGGAGCTACTTTTTTACTGGGCTTGGGATGGGTTGCCTGGGCGAGAGTTGTATTCATTTCCTTACTTCTCCATTTTTCTTTCCAATAGGTCTATCCCTCTTTGATCAGCTATTGGGGAAGGGGAAGTTTCAGGGACTTTGTTAATTGTAAAATATATACGTGTGCGTGTGCGTGTGTGTGTGTGTGTGTGTGTGTGTGTATTTGAACCCATCTAAGACGATTATCCTAAAAGGGATGTTGGCAAATGCAGCTCCTCACCAAAAGAAAAAAAAAAAAAGATGAAAAGAGCAACAAACCTGATTGGATCCCCGCTTCTCCCCTCCAACCTAGCCGGAAGCCACTTCTCTCCCTCACAGGTGGCTACAGGGCACCTGCTTCACACCTTCCTAAGCAGAGATGCCTCCTTTCACCTTGAGTAAGTCTGTTGGCACAGATGCCCTTGGGTGGGGCTGAGGCTCGTCTCTCCCAACTTTCCAAGTCTTCCCGCCTGAGGCCCACTGGGCATATCCAGGCCCTTTTTGACTGGACAATTATTCCACCATTCAGAGGGGCAGGCAGAGAGAGGAGACACTTCCGTGGGCTGCCCCTTAAATAACCAGACCACCTTCAGTAGGAATGCAAGTGGCTTGGTTTGAGAAGTGCCCTGGAAAGTAGGGCTGTCAGAGTAGTTCCAAGACTCTGATACCCCTCCCTACCCCCAAACGTGAAAAAACATGAACCCTCACCAGCTCACAGCAAGTAGGAGATTTTTGTGCTTTGTTCTGTGGTGGTTCTTACTTTGGTGATGTTACTGGAAGTAATGGCAAAAAACCGCAATTACTTTTGCACCAACCTAATAATATTAAATGATGATAAATGTTTACTACATTTTAATAGTTACTAGGTGCCAGGTATTGTTTAAGTGCTACATGTATTCTTTTAAAAACAATTTTATTGAGGTTTATTTTACATATTATAAAATTCACCCATTTCAACAATTCAATGTCTTTTAGTAATTTTACAGAGTGGTACAACCATCACCATGAATTTGTTTTAGAACATTTTCATGCCCCAGTAAGATTCCTCATTTGAAGTTGAAATGCTGTTTCCTCTCCTTAATCTACCTCCTGTAAATCTGCCTTTCCTGGATATGTTATGTCAATTGAATCTTGCAGCATGTGGTATCTTGTGTCAGTTTATGTCTATTTCTTTAATTATTATAACAACCCCAATGAGGTAGGTTCTGTTGTATCCTTATTTTATAGATGATGAAATTGAGATACAGAGAAATTCACTGACTTTCCTAAGACCTTGCATCTAGCATTGGCACTGGGATTCCAACCCAGGCCGTCTGGCACCAGAATCTGCCATCGTATTTTTATCTTAACTCTCCAAACAACCTTACATGACAAAATTTTGCCCCTTTTTTATACAGGGAGTTGTTGGCCCAGGGCTGGATCTAAGACTGCCCTGAGCGGAGGGATGTGTGAACCCACTATGGGGGAAACCAGCCCTGGAGAACCCAGCCCTGGAGCCTGAGAACCAGCACTCCCCCTTCCACTACTCTACTGAGAAGGGTTAATTACTGCCATCACCTCTCTGCTCCTGCCCAGTTTAGTAGGTATGAGGGGATGAGAGGGGAAAGGTGAATCATTGTTCTGGGATTAGCTGGTTTCTTTGTCCCTATAAATATCTAATATTCCAGGAGCTCTTAGCTACCTTACCTGGTTAAATCACCTCTACTAACAGAGATATTTCCTTCTTTAGCAGTGTGCTGGGGAATTTGTCTTTGAAGAACAGTTTCTGTTTCAATTTCAGTCACCAACTTCTACAAGGGTGATATGATTTGGCTGTTTCCCCAACCAAATTCCTTCTTGAATTGTAGCTCCCATAATTCCCATGTGACATGGGAGGAACCCCTCATAGGAGGTAATTAAGTCATAGGGGCAGGCTTTCTCATGCTGTTCTTCTGACAATGAATATGTCTCATGAGATCTGATGACTTTATAAAGAAAAGTTCCCTACACAAGCTCTCTTATTTGCTTGCCACCAGGTAAGATGTGACTTTGCTCCTGTTTTGCCTTCTACCATTTTTGTGTGGCCTCCCCAGACATGTAGAACTGTGAGTCTATTAAATCTCTTTCCTTTATAAATTACCCAGTCTCAATAATGTCTTTATTAGCATCATGAGAATGGACTAATACAGTCCATTGGTACCAGTAGAGTGGGGTGTTGCTCTAAAGATACCTGAAAATGTGGAAGCAACTTTGGAACTGGGTTGCAGACAGAGGTTAGAACATTTTGGAGGGCTCAGAAGAAGACAGAAAAATGTGGGAAAGTCTGGAACTTCCTCAAGACTTGCGGAATTGTTTCGACCAAAATGTTGATATGGAGAATGAAGTCCCAGTTGAGGTGGTCTCAGATGGAGATGAGTAACTTGTTGGAAACTGGAATAAAAGTGATTCTTGTTACATTTTAGCAAAGAGACTGGTGGCATTTTGCCCCTGCCCTAGAGATCTGTGGAACTTTGAACTTGAGAAAGATGATTTAGGCTATCGGGCTGAAGAAATTACTAAGCAGCAAAGCATTCAAGAGGTGATTTGGGTGCTGTTAAAAGCATTCAGTTTTATGTATTCACAAAGATATGGTTTGGAATTGTAACTTATGCTTAAAATGGAAGCAGAGCATAAAAGTTTGGAAAACGTGCAGCCTAGTGGTGCAATAGAAAAGAAAAACTCATTTTCTGGGAAGAAATTCAAGCCTGTTGTAGAAATTTGCATAAGTAATAAGGAGCCAAATGTTAGTCACCAAGACAGTGGGGAAATATCTCTGGGGCATGTCAGAGACCTTGGTGACAGCCCCTCCCATCATAGACTCAGAGGCCTAGGAGGAAAAAAATGGTTTCCTGGACTGGGTCCAGGGCCCCCTTGCTCTCTATAGCCTAGGGACTTGGTGTTCTGTGTCCTAGACACTCCAACCATGGCTAAAGGGATCAAGGTACAGCTTGTGCTGTGGCTTCAGAGGGTGCAAGCCCTAAGCTTTGCTTCCACTTAGTGTTGAGCCTGTCCATATACAGAAGTCAAGAACTGAGGTTTGGGAATCTTAATCTAGATTTCAGAGAATGTATGAAAATGCCTGGATGTCCAAGCAGAAGTTTGCTGCAGGGGTGGGGCAATTATGGAGAATCTCTGCTAGGGCAGTGTGGAAAGGAAATGTGGGGTGGGAGCCCCACACAGAGTCCCCACTGGAGCAATGCCTAGTAGAGCTGTGAGAAGAGAGCCACCATCCTCCAGACCTCAAAATTGTAGCTCCACTAACACTTGCACCATGCACCTGGAAAAGCCACAGATACTCATTGCAGGCCTCATGGGAGTTATAATTTTTGATTAAAAAAACAAAAAACTCAATTTCCTTTCTTCCTCAGTTCCTTCCCTGATGGTGATCTGTCAGAGCACTTTCCTCTGCAATGGGTCATGCAGATGGGCTATGCTGATAGCATTTGCTGACTCATGGAAGACACTCATGCCAGAAGCTAGCAGGAAGGCTGTACCCTGCAAAACCACAGGGATGGAGCTGCCCAAGACCATGGGAACCCACCTCTTGCATTAGTGTGCCCTGGATAGGAAACATGGAGTCAAGGAGGTTGTTTCAGAGCTTTAAGATTTGATTTCCCTGCTGGATTTTGGACTTGCTTGGAGGCTGTAGCCCCTCTGTTTTGACCATATTTTTTCCCATTTGGAACAGGTGTATTTACCCAATGCCTATACACTCATTGTTTCTAGGAAGTAACTAACTTGCTTTTGATCTCACAGGCTTATAAGTGGAAGAGACTTGCCTTGTCTCAGATGAGACTTTGGACTGTGGACTTTAGAGTTCATGCTGAAATGAGTTAAGACTTTGAGGGGCCATTGGGAAGGCACAATTGGTTTTGAAATTTGAGGACATGATATTTCAGAGGGGCCAGGAGTAGAATGATATAATTTGGCTGTGCCCTCACCCAAATCTCATCTGGAATTGTAGCTCCCATAATTTACATGTGTCATGGGTGAGACCCAGTGGGAGGTAATTGAATCATGGGGACGGGTTTTCCTATGCTGTTCTTGTGGTAGTGAATGAGCCTCATGAGACCTGATGGCTTTATAAAGGGATGTTCCCCAAGCTCTCTTTTTGCCTGCTGCCATGTAAGACACGACTTGCTCCTCCATCACCTTCCATGATTATATGGCCTTCTCAGCCATGTGGAACTGTGAGTCAATTAAACTTCTTTCCTTTATAAGTTACCCAGTCTCAGGTATGTCTTTGATAGCAGTGTGAGAACAAACTAATACAAACGGCTTCTTAATCTAAGTGGCCTTGGGGCAGTAGTGGTTCTCTTCAAATTGTATAGGTCTTGTGAGTGTGTGTGTGTGTGTGTGTGTGTGTGTGTAGGTATTTTTTCTGTGAAAAGATACAGTGTATGTTCATCACTTTTCCAAAGGGATCTTCTTTTAAAAAAATTCTATGGTGACATCACTCATATTTGAGCATCCTATAGGTGTCAGGCTCTCTGCTAGGTACTTTTTATGCATCACTGCATTTCATTCTTACAATGGAAGCAGGAAGTAGGTGCTGTTATTATTCCCACTCTACACATGCTAAAAGTGAGACATAGAGAAGTTAAGTAACCTGCAGGTAACTGAAAATTTTCAGGTTTTTTCTTTACACACATCCTACCCCCTTTTTTGAGCTGAAATTCACATAATAAAACATTAACCATTTGAAAGCGTATAATTCAGTGGCATTGAGTACATTCACAACACTGTGCAACCGTCACTTCTATCTAGTTCCGAAACATTTTTCTCATGACCAAAGAAGATGCTGTACCCATTAAAGAGCAACTCCCATTTCTACCTCCTCCCAGTCCTGGCAAACATTAATTTACTTTCTGTCTTTATGGATTTACCTATCCTGGATAATTCATATAAGTAGAGTCATACAATCGCTTGCCTTTTACGTCTGGCCTTTCTAATTTAGCATAGTGGTTTCGAGGTGCATCCATGCTGCAGCATGTACCAATAGTTTGTTTCTTTTTATTGCAAGCGGTATTCTCTGTATAAACATCCCACATTTTGTTTATCCATACATCAGTTGATGGGCATTTGGATTATTTCTGCCTTTTGGCAATTGTGAACAATGTTGCCATGATGTGTGTGTAATGTACTTGTTTGAGTATCTGTTTTCTATCCTTGGATATATATGTAGGAATGGAACTGTTAACTCTATGTTTATAAACTTTTTTGAGGAATTGCCAAACTGTTTCCACCATGACTGCAGCATTTTACACTTCTACCAGCAATGTACAAGAGTTCCAATTTCTCTACATCCTTGCCAACAGTTCTTTTCCATTTTTTTTCAATTATAGCTATCCTAGTGCGTGGGAAGAGGACTCTCATTGTGGTTTTAATTTGCGTTTCCCAAATGAATGCAGATGTTGAGCATCTATTCATGTATCTGTGGATCATCTTTATATCATCATTGGAGAACTGTGTGGGCAAGCCCTTTGTCCATTAAAATTCTTTTATTCAGTTGTAAGAGTTCTTTATATATATGGACACTAAATCCTCATCAAATATATGATTTCCACACATTTTATCCCGTTCTGTAGGATGTCTTCACTTTTGCACACAAAAGTTTTCAATTTTTATGAAGTTCAGTGTTATTCTTGCGTTGTGTAGGGAGTTAGAGATAACCTCCAACCCCCTGTTTAGCTCTTATTAGGCTCTTCAGCTGAATATAGAAACCAAATTGACACCAGGTTGATTAACAAGAGAAAAAGAATACAGATTTTGTTAGTTTTTCATGACATAGTGATCTTCACAAGGAGTGAAGTTGGAAGCAGTTTCCAAAGCAAGATCTTTTCATACTTTTTAGACAAAGAATAATCAATTTAAGAAGAAATAACGGGACAAAGAAAATCTGGCTAGGGTGGTAGAATTTTGCTAGAGGAGTCACTAGGAGATATATGGGGGTGCTATAAAGCAGGTGGAGGATAAGGATTACTTCATTATGTATAAATTCAGGGCCACTGCAGGCTTCAATTCCAAGTCCCTGGTAATAAAGGCTATTTTGCTACCCTGGTATGGAGAGAGTACTGCTCCCAGAGGAATCTTAATTACTTGCTGCATGCAGGAAGAGACAGGTCAGCTCAGTCTTTCAGAAATTACGATTTCTCAATGTTTTCAACTTGAAATAATCCACGTACCCATCTGCTGTATTTTGATATGACATGTGCTTCCTTCTATTGGTTGGTTGTACTGTTGCTATTATATCTAAGAGTCCATTGCAAATCATAGGTCAAGATTGTTTTCTACGTTTTAGTCTAAGAGTTTTATAGTTTTGCTCTCCCATTTGGGTCTTTGATCTATTTTGAGTTAATTCTGTGTGTGGTGTGAGGTGGAGGGTGGGGTCTATATCCACTCTTCCACTCTTTTGCCTGTGAATATCCACTTGTCCTAGTCCCTTCCATCAGCTCCAAAGTGAACTTTACTTGCAGGCTGACCTAGACTTTGAAGGCTCGAGAGTGAGGGAGGCAGGCAAGGAGACAGATATTTTTAGGACAGTGATAGACACCTGTTTTGGAGTGATTAGTTGTTTTACTCTAATTTCTCTGCCTTCCTTCCTGCATGGGCCAGTATCTAGCACACTGGAGGCCCTCCCCCACCCCACCCCCTGCAACTCCAGCAACTGGCCATTGACTAAACAAGTGCCTGTTTTGTCCCAAGAGCTGGCTGGTGCAAGCTGGGAGTTCAAGGGCTGAGTTATCAGGCGTTCTTTTGTAATCCACAGGTGCAGCCAGCGTCATCGTCGGCCACCCTCTGGACACAGTCAAGGTACAGTAGCCATGTTTCCCATTACCTCTTAAAAAGAGGCATGGAGCTGATCTGCCTCTGGGACTATGCCTGCTGTTTCTGATCTCCCATAGAGTCTTCTGCCCAGGGCAGGCTCTCTGTTGCCAGCCCAGGGGCTGGAGTGCCAGGAGGCCTGGGTTGGACCCAGAAGACTCAGAGGTCCATGGGGACTTTAAACTAGATTGGAGATGGAACCCATCATTACCTGATGAAACACATGGGTGTGAGGACTGTGGAGCTGGTGGGGCCTTCCTGGCATTGGGATTATCCAACACCCTTGTTCTGGGATGTTCTCTAGAAGGGGAAGGGGCTGGTTTCAGATCATACAACAAGTTAAAAACTGAGGTGTGAGATGCTGCAAAGGAGCAATCTTTCACCCCATCTCCACTCCTGCACCCGTTCCCTGTGGTGAGCAGAACTTAGAGCTATGCTCTGAGAACAGAGCCATAAATTGTGCCTCCTCACTGCTGACTGGCTTCCAGATCTGTTTCTAAAGCTCTGTCTGGATTGTTCACAGGCAGGAGCCTCACAGGCCCTTTCAAATGGCTGCTGCAATGTCTGTTCTCCCCATCCTGCTCCCTGTATGAAAATGGACTCTCTCCTAGGTCAGGGCTCATGCTCACTCTCTTCTTGATGAGAAGATGAGTCTACCTATTTTAAATATTTGAAGAAACCCTTTAAGTAGTAAAGGGGGGTGTTTAGGGTCCCCAGGGGACGTCCCAACGCAAGGGGATGGCAGGCAGGACCCAGTGCTGGGAGATGGGCACACAAAGTAGTGAGTGAAGCAGGCTTAGTCTACCCTCCTGAAATGGTATAATCTTCCCATTTTATACAGGAGAGAGTAAGGTGCAGAGTTCAGAAACCTGCCCCAGACCTTAAAGCTGGGCATTGTAGTGCTGGATTCAAAGCTCCAAAGTGAACTTTACTTGCAGGCTTACCTAGGCTTTGAGGACTCAGGAGTGAGGGAGGCAGGCAAGGAGACAGATACTTTTAGGGCCAGTAAAAGATGATAATTAGAGAACACAACAGATACACAAAGCATTTATGGACAGTGGTGGGTGCTAGGGGGACAATAACACAAGATGATGGCAGAAACAGTGATGAGGGGCTTCTCTGTTTTGAAGTCATGGATGGTCTCTCTACCAGGGAGGCAGCTAAGTTGAGACTCAAATGACATAAGGAGGCAGACATGCAGAACTGGGGTGAGAGTGCTGCTCGCAGAGGAACAAGCCAGTGCAAGGGCCCAAGGGTAGGAACAGGCTGCAATATACATTCTCCAGGAAAACAAAGAAGGCCAGTGTGTGTGGTGCACATAATGAGCTGAGCAATCGCGGTGGTACAGATGCTGGGAGAAGCCCAGGGAGAATGGGATTTCAGAGTGGGCTGGGGACCTTGCTGCCTGCCTCCTGCCAGCCCTGCATAGCCAGGCCCTGGGTCTTAGAGCCCACCAAGGAGGGCTGTGCAGCAAGTTCATGTCAGAAGTGGACATACCAGCATCTCAAGGCTAAGCCATTGCTGCCCAGAGGTAGGGCCCATGTCTAGCACTCCCCAGGGCTGTCCAGAGCCAAGCCAGGTCCTCAGAGACTTTCCCACCCCTGTGGTAGCTGCCCACTGAGCCCTCTTTACCCTCCATGAGAGCTGGCTGGTTACCTTATGCAGGCCTGGCTTCTCTAGCCTGTGGCCTATGACTCTCCCCTGTTCAGAGTGCAGCTCAGTACAGAGCTGGGCACAGCCCCCCTGGGTGAGCACCTGCTGCATGAGTTGCCATCCCAGACCTCAGCCAAGTTCAAGGTACCTGCTGCATAACTCTTCAGGACTGGGCCTTGGGAAGACTTGGAAGACTTGGATGTGCTCCTTAATGTCTCCATGAGAGTGCTGATTGTTGCTGGCATTTCTTACCTCCCAAACTCACCTGTCATTCCCAGACTGTCTTCCCCAGGGTTCATTCAACAAACCCATCCACAACAATGGATCAGTGGGGAGGCAGCATGGCCGAGCCAGAAAGCATGGGCTTTGGAACCATGCAGGCTCTGGGTGTGAATCCTACTTTTGCCATTTCTTGCTTGCATAGCCTTCTGTAAACAAGATACGAATCCTTGCCTTACAGGATCAGTATAAGATGATAAGCATTGTTTTTTGTACCCAGTTGGCATTCAAAATTGGTAGCTGCTATTTTTTTTTTTGAGACAGAGTCTCATACTGTCCCCCAAGCTGTAGTACAGTGGTGTGGTCTCAGCTCACTGCAATCTCTGCCTCCTGGGTTCAAGCAATTCTCCTGCGTCAACCTCCCTAGTAGCTGGGACTATAGGTATGCACCACCATGTCCACTAATTTTTTTGTATTTTTAATAGAGATGGGTTTCACCATGTTGGCCAGGATGGTCTCGATCTCCTGACCTCATGATCTGCCCACCTTGGCTTCCCAAAGTGCTGGGATTACAGGCATGAGCCACCATGCCTAGCCGGTAGCTGCTATTTTAATCAACATCATTCTATATATATTAAGTTTTGCTCAGTTACCACATCATGAGACAATGTCTAACAAGATTTTAACCAAAATTGAAGAATGTGTTTCCAATTCTCTGATTTAAATGATATTTATACATTTCTCTTTGGGGGTCAATGGGATACCTCAAAGATGGGCAAGCATTCTCCGAGTGGCATGCTCAGTCACTGATCTTGGAACTGTTGGCCACAGGCCTACCATCTTGGCAAGGAAAAGGGCTGTTGTTTCTCTAGAATCCAAGCTGACTTCATATAAGTGAGTTGGTAACAGATCACTGTGGGAAGTGAGATTTAACAGTAAAAAATTGAGAGTATGGATTAGTTTCCTTGGGCTACTGTAACAAATATCCACAAACTGGGTGCCTGGAAATAATAGAAATTTATTTCCTCACTGGTAAGGGAGGAGGAAGTCCAAAACTGAGGTGTTGGTGCCTTCTGGAGGCTCTGAGGGAGGACCTGCCACATGGTCCTGTGCCAGCTTCCAGTGCCAGCTTCAGTGCTTGGCATTCCTTGGACAGTGGCTCCTTAACTCTAGGCCCTGCCTGTCTTTACAAGGCCTCCCCTCTGAGTCCCTGTGTGTTAAATCTCCCTGTCCTTCCTAAGGACACTAGTCACTGGGTTCAGGGCAATTTATAGGAGTGGAGCTCCCTGGCCACAGTCACCTGAAAAGGCTGGGCTCTCTCCCTTCTTTGCACTCTGCCCTGAAGCTTGGAAGGGAAGCCCTCCTAAGACATGGATTCGAGTTGTTGTTTGGCCTGAGTGCCCCTGTTGCACTCCAGAACACCCTCTTCCTTCCTTCTGGCTGATGTTTTCTCTATGGACCTTGTCCACCAAGAGAGGGCCAGGCAAGTCTGAATAACTGGAAATCCAGTCCTGGCCTCATCACCTACTCTCCTGTGACTGGGGCAGAGTGCTTAACCTTCCTGAGCCTTAGTTTCCTTATCTGTAAAGTGGGCAAGTAGCACCTCCCTGGTGGGGCTGCCTTGAAGATCGTTCACAGAGCCATTGCATTGAGGATATAACAATGAGCAAGATGCTGCTGCTATCGTGAATAGACAAGCTGGGCTGCGGGAGGCAGACAGTGATTTGCCTGGAGTCCCAGGACTCACCTGTGGAAGAACCCGGTTACAAGGGCCTGTGCTGCTGACTCAGGTGAAAGGCTTCTTCCTGTGCCCTTGGCTGCCTGGTCTTAGGTGGAGGAGGCAGGTCTGCTGCATATGTCTGATGCAGCATGGCTAAGTTTTCTAGTCAGGGCTTGGCTGCCTGTAAACCAGGGATTTCCCTACCCCCATACCATGGACCAGTACCAGTCTGTGGCCTGTTAGGAACTGGGCCATGCAGCAGGAGGTAAGCAGAGAGCAAGTGATCATTCCTGCTTGAGCTCTGCCTCCTGTCAGATCAGTGGCAGCATTAGATTCTCATAGGAGCACAAACCCTGTCATGAACTGTGCATGTGAGGGATCTAGGTTGCCTGCTCTTTATGAGAATCTAATGCATGATGATCTGAGGTGGAACAGTTTCATCCTGAAACCATCACCCCACCCTGGACCATGGAAAAAATGTCTTCCACAAAACTGGTCCCTGGTACCAAAAAGGTTGGGGACCACTCTTGTAGGCCATGGGGTCTGGATTGCAATGGACAGGCTTTTTTTTGGGGGAGGGATGTCTGCCTCCTTCTCATGAACATCCCATTGAGGCTTTTTGTATGGCTCCATCATGCTCCCCACCACTCCAGGCTGCCCCCTCACTACCTACTCCACTCTGGGGCATTCACGTTGGCCCAGGACAGCTAGGGCACGGCCTGCTCTGCCAGGTCAGGGCCAGCCGGGCAGTGGCTCAGCTCCAAGCACTGAGGCTCCAGCTACCTCACCTCCTGGCACTGAACACTCATCCTCTTCTCCTTGGGTTTTCACCTCTGGGGTTCTGAGAGCTTCCAATGGGAGGGAAACCGTGAACTGGAGGAATATGAGCTCATGGCACCCCTGACATGAAGCTCATAGTTTTGGGCTAAATATTGCCTGCAGCGCCATGCTCTTCAAGCTGTATCCACTTCATGCACAGAACCCAGGGCTCCTGTTCTCTATAAGGACCAAAGAAAATGTCAGACAACTGAGAAAATACTATGTAAGAAGAAAAGTATAGAATCAAAATTAATGCTGCACTAAATGTTTGCAAAATATAACCGCATGTTAAATAATCAAATGGAGCTCAACTTTCATGGAGGTCTATGTGGTTGATATTAATATGGGATGTACATTAAATATGTACAATTATACTAATTTTATCTTCCTTGATACAATATGAGCAGGTTTACAAAAGTGAAAGAGTCCAATATCTAAGCAAGTCTTAAAATGACCTTGAATCTACATAACCAGGAGAGGTGAGAAAGATAATGGCAAACCCATCAATTATCTAGGCCCAAATGAGGGCTCTGGGCACCTCAAATATGGAGATATTTTCCCTAATAACTAAAAACACTGAAGCTGGGCTAGAGAACCAAGCTCTCTTCTCTCTTGCCTTTCATAGGTATTCATTGAGCACCTATTATATACCTAACCCTATGTTTAGGTCAGAGAACTCAACTCTCAGGGAAGTCACACCTAGTCAAGAGCTTGGGCTGGACTTCTTTTAGTCTCAGTAGGCTAGAGGTTGGTGGGAATAGCAGCCTCTGGGGTCCTGTAAAGTGAAAGGCCTGGGGATGAGCCGAAGGAGGGAGCCAGGTTCCTGGGGAAACTGCGTGAGGCAGTGTGGTTGACTGAATAATGGTCCCCAGATGTGCCCATGTCCTCATCTCTGGAACCTGTGAATGTCATCTCATATGGCAAAAGAAAACTTTGCAAGTATGCTTAAGTTAAGGATCTCAAGATGGGAGGATGATCCTGGATTATCAGGGAGCTTCTTAAATGTGATTAGAAGTGTCCTTGTAACAGGGAGGTAGAGGGAGATTTCGATTTCTTCCTATAGAAGAGGAAGCAAACAATGTGAGGACAAAAGAAGCAGGGAGAGAAGAGGAGCCGTGACGCTGGGACATGGCTCCAGGAAAGAGGGTGAACTCCAAAAGCTGGGGGAGACAAGGAAACAGATTTTCTCTGAGAGCCTCCCAAGAGAGTGCTGCCCTGCCAGCACCCTGGTCTTAGCCCACTGAGATCATTTCAGATTTCTGGTCTTAGAACTGTGAGAAAATGCATTCATGCTGCTTTAAACTATGGAGTTTGTGGCAATTGGTTACAGTAGCAACAGGAAACTAAAGCAAGGAATCAGCTGTGTTCATCTGTAAGATGGGACCAGTACTTGTGCCTTAGAGCACCTGTGCGATTTAGTGGGATCAGTTTTATATGATCAGTATGCAGTTGGTGCACACTAAATGTCATCTCCTGCTGTCACTGGATCCCTAGAGACTTGGACTTTGCTGCTGGCCTCAGTGCCAGCTTCCCTGAGTGCTCAGCATGCCTGACAAACCTTTGGCTCCACGGCTTTGAAATTATTCTGTGATCCAGGTTTGGCTCTCGGGTTGAGTTCCTTCATGTATCATTGGCTTGAGTGACTCAACCACTCAATTTTCTTAGCAGGAACTTGACTGCTTGTTGCAGGGGGTCGGGTGGCAGTCCACCTTTCTGTGGATTCACTTTCCAGGGAGAGCCCTGGGAGAGTGTTGAACCTCATGCCAGCCTTGCATGGGGCACAGAGGGAGACCTGCAGCCCTCCACCACCTCCTAAGTTACCACCTGGCACAAGTCATTGTCCTAGTTGTGGACATCCCACTCCAAGGTAGGCCTCTGTGGTTCTGCTTAACAAGAAGACCTTGAAGGCCGGGTTCTCATCTCACTGCATCTTCCAGGGAGTCTCCACCACTCAATTTAAAACTACCTTTTTCTTCTCATCACCCAGCTCTTCTTATCCTTGGTTTTCTTCCATAGCACTTGTCTTCATCTAAAATACGTATTTGCTTGGGAATTATTTTTTATTGACCATCTTTTCTGACTCCACCAGGTTGTAAGTTCCATGAGGGCAGAGACTCTGGTTTCTTTATTGCTGAATTCCCTGAGATTGGAATTGTGCCTCCAATAAAATAGGCCCCGAACAAATACTGGTTGAGTGAGTCGATAAACACACTTCTCTGGTTATGAAAATAAAACTTACGAGCAGGGTGATAATATTTCCTATGTTTTTCCTTTGGCTACATATGTTTATAAAACTATTTAAATGGGTGCTTCTCAAACTCTTGGCCATGCTATTAGCCATGATCATGAACTCGGGGGAGGAGCAGGGTGAGAGTGAAGGTGGGTCCAATGAGGCTTTAGCCTTACATGTGCTGCTAATTTTGATGTCGTTGAGAGAATGTATTTCCCTATGACTTGTGTACTTTACATTAGTTTTAAACTATGTAAGCTAAAAATAATGAAAGTAACATCTGCTATTGCAGGAAAGTTGGAAAATGCAGAAAAGCTCCACATTGCCTGTGGTGTTCACCTCTGAGATCATCATTTTAACTTTACGTATTCTTCCCAGGCCTCTTCCACTTGTCTCCAGAGCTGAGCTCAGGCGGTTTGTGTGAGGAGCTAGCCTGATTTTCTGGGTCTCAGTCCCTTACTGTATACTGGATTCTGTGGGGACTGGCCAGCATCTCCTCCTTGGTCATCTCACGGCTCCTTCATGCACAGGCATGGCATGCTGTGCATGCTGACAAAGTGTTTTGATGGGAAATTATAGGCTGTGCATCTTAAAAGAAGTGGAATCATCTGAGGCCAGGGCAGGGGTACTCTAGACACTTAGGTGGGCTTACTCAGACCCTCTGTGCCTGTCAGCTGCTGCCCCTGGTCACCAAAGCCAGCCTCCATCAGAGGTCACCACACCTTAGCCATGCAGTCCTTGTTCAGTCAGTGCAAAGGGGCCACTGTGCTGGGGCTGTGCCCTGCCCTGGAGATGAGAGGAAAGACAGGTGTTCCTACCCTAGTTGGGTGATCCAACATAAACCCTACATAATCAAACACATAGAACATGGCGACATATCCACTCAGTCCTAAAAGATGAGCAGGAGCTGGAGGAAGAGCCTTCCAGAAGTTGGGAACAGAAGTGGCAGTGGGCTGGAGGCAGGAAAGAATTGCGGCTCCAGGGTCTGGAGATACGCACCTTATGTAGGGCCAGCTTATGTAGTGGCACATGGGGTGAGAGGCAGGTGCCTCCCAGGCTCAGGGAGAGTGGGGAATGTCTCCTACATTTGATGGGAGGCCACTGGAGGCTTCATTGACCTTGAAAAAGATCAGTCTGCCTGTTGCATAGAGAGAAATAGAGGAAGTGACAGAGAAGCAGGAGGCCAGGGAGGGCTTCAGGCCATGGGGTGGTATTTCTAGGGGCAAGAAGAGCAGGTCTCCCCCAAAGCTATTTTGCAGGGTGGAGTGACAGACAGCAGATAGAGTTCCAGTTTAGCTTTGTGTACTCAAGAGGTGGGGATCATACAATGATTAGGCACAACTAGCTGGCCTTTGCCATTCTCTCAGCAAAGCGGGCTTCTATGCATTGAGCCAGTCTGAAAGGGACATTAGAGGGAGGCAGTGCAAGCCAGGGATGGAGCACCAGCCTGGCCAGAACTGAAGCCCAGACCCTTTGCTGGCAGGCTTCACTATGAGCAGGGCATTTCCCTCTCGGCATCTTTGGAGCAGTGGGGCTAAGAATGATCTCTGAGCTGACACATGCCCTTTCCTCTCTCTACAGACTCGCCTGCAGGCCGGCGTCGGCTACGGGAATACCCTCAGCTGCATCCGCACTGTGTACAGGAGGGAGAGCGTAAGTGCCCCTTGGGTGGGTGGAGTGATGCCTGCCTGGGCCCCCACAGGCTGGGATCAGGGCCACAGCCCCACATCTGTATGCAGGTGGGGGCCTCTCATTCTGATCACACTTGGCTTGATTTTGCCTACTTCATCTCACACCACACCTCAAATATTATGTGTTACCTAAACTCACCCCTGCCACCTACCGCAGCATAACTTAGGAAAGACTCCGGTGTTGTGTAACCTCTATGGAGAAATCCTGAAGAATTTGGAGCCCCAGTGTGGAAAATTCCAGCAAAAATAAGGTGATCACTCAGTTTTTCACAAAGGAGCGACAGACTGGTAAACTGTGAGCTGACAGACCTCCCTTTATTGGGCCTGGTGGGAGCCAGGCGTGTCCGAGCCCAGACACCAGAGTTTACCTGCGCCCAAGTCGCTTGAGAGCCTGTGACCCAAGATGTTCCTTTTCCAAAGGGAAAACTGAATGATACTTTGTAGAAAATGCATCGGTTCCCTTCTTGAGAATCAGTATGTGCTTCAGGAAGACTTTCTGAGGTCCCTCTTAGTGAAATTTGGAATAAATTTTTGAATTTTGAATGGAATGACCTGATTTAAAGAAACCGTCAGGTGGAACCCTGTCACAGCCCTCTGACTTTTCCCTGAGTCCCTGGAAATGTGGCCCCACTGTAGCCATTGTCTCCACTGGGCTCCATTCTAACAAGTGCCCTGGGGCTCAGAAGCCTCTTGCAAGTACCTAGAGTTTTCCCACCAGTGAAGGGCATCTCGTGTCAGGGTGTTGCTGTAACTCTCTTGATCGGCTGCTTTAAAATTGGGGCGAGCACTGCAAGCCTGGCACTTGGTGTTCCTGGGTAATGCTGTGGGATTCCATAGTCCCCGGAAAGCGGCTGTTGATTCTCTGTTTGGCACATGTTCCCGGCAGTGTCTGCCAGCTTGCGTCCCAGCTCCAGGGTTTTGGTGGGGATTGCGGTGGTTTCTCTGAGGCATAGTGGCTCATGGCTAAGCCACTTCCCAAGTAATCTGAAGGGTCTTGTGATGGAAGAAGAACACGAAGCAGGATGTGCTCACATGTGTGTGTGCATACATGTGTGTATATATGCACACGTATGTGCGTGTGCAGATGTGTGAGGCATCCTGCCTCTGGGAGTGCGTGCAGTGAGGACTAGCGTGTTTGTGCGCAGCCTGGAGTCTGCACAATGGCTTCCCAGTACTTTCTCATGTTTGGCACGCATGTGCTGCCCTGACTCCTCCAGGGGCCTGTGGAATTTTCCTGTTTTCCTCAGCACATCTGTGGTGTTCATCAAGAATGCCATGTGGAAGGGAAGTGCCACGAGCCTGCAGCACCCCCTCCTCAGCCTCCTGCAGCCTGTGTGTGCATCTGTGTCTTTATGTGACCCCTCCAGCCACTGCTGTCAGCAGACACCCATGCTCATGGGCACCCATCAACAGGCTGGCGCAGGCTCCCCTCAGGAGTCTGGGGAACCTGTCTGACACCACAGGCTTAGCAGACCGCCTATGTTGTAACTGCCTGTCAGTTTGTCTGTTCCACACCCCACTTTCTCCAGACTATAAATTCAGTGAGGGTGGAGGCCCTTTCTTTTTTATGGTTGCTCCCCAGGGCCTGGTCCCTGGCCAGTGCTTAGAAAATGTTTTTGTTGTGGCAAATGAGGAGGCGATGCTTGGTGCTTGGCCAGCCCACTGCCCCTAAAGGCTCCTCAGGCTCCCCCTCAGCCACAGCCCAAAATCACTGCCCCTCCTGCCTCGTGCACGCCATGTGTGGGTTCCAGGCCAGGACACCACCCACAGGAAACAAAGCAGGCTGCAGAAGCCGGGCTGTCCTCAGGGCAAGAATGCCTGCCCCCAAGCGGCCCCCGACCCCCTGCCAACTGTCGCGTCAGCACCTCTTCCCGTCTCTTCACTGATACATGGGCAGATGTGTCCTGTGGTGTCCCCTGCCAGCCTGCAGGCTCTGTGACGGCAGCCTGCAGTCCTCATGCCTCTTCCTACTGGGTTTCACTGCAGGTGTTCGGCTTCTTCAAGGGCATGTCCTTCCCCCTTGCCAGCATTGCTGTCTACAACTCTGTGGTATTTGGGGTCTTCAGTAACACACAGCGATTCCTCAGCCAGCACCGCTGCCAGGAGCCCGAGGCCAGTCCTCCCCGCACGCTGTCGGACCTGCTTCTGGCCAGCATGGTGGCTGGCGTGGTCTCTGTTGGGCTGGGAGGGCCCGTGGACCTCATCAAGATCCGGCTGCAGATGCAGACACAACCGTTTCGTGACGGTAAGCGGCCAGGGGAACAGAGGCTGGTGTCTGGGACCTGTGGCTCTTTCCTGGTTTGTGGCATCTGGGACAGACATGGTTGTTAAAATCCTTTTATTGAGCAAGGCATCTACCTCGTCATGTAGTAGTCCCTAATTACAGGCATACCTCAGAGAGGTGGGTTCAGTTCCAGACCACTACATTAAAACAAGTATCACAATAAAAGTCTTATGAACATTTTGGTTTTCCAATGCATTTAAAGTTATGTTTAGGCTATACTATAGTCAAAGTGTGCAATGGCATTATGCTTAAAAATATACATATCTTAATCTAAAAATACTTCAGTCCTAAAAATTACTGACAATTATCTGAGTGTTCAGCGAGTCGTAATGTTTCCGCTGGTGGCGGGTCTTGCCTCCAGGTTGATGGCTGCTGACTGTTCGGGGTTGTGGTTGCTGAAGGTTGGGGTGCGCTGTGGTAATTTCTTAAAAGAAGGCAACTATGAAGTTTGCCACATCCATGGACTCTTCCTTTCACAGAAGATTTCTCTGTAACATGAGATGCTGTTTGATGGCATTTTACCCATATTAGAAATTCTTTCAAAATTTGAGTCAGTCCTCTCAAACACTGCTGCTGCTTTATCAGCTAAGTTTATGGAATATTCTAAATCCTTTGTTGTCATTTTAACAATGTTCACAGAATCTTTACCACTAGTAGATTCTGTCTAATAATGACTTTCTTTTTCATCCAAGGTGTGCCTTTATTACTATTTAATCTGAAGCAGTAACTGCCATTAAGTATTTGATATGTGCCAGGTACTCACTAGGACCTTTGCATATGTTCTCACAATTAATCTTGTAACAATTCTGTGAGGCAGTTGCTGTTATCTCCATTTTACACACGAGAAAACAGGCTCCCAGAGGTTAAGATACTTACTCGAGAACACACGATTAGCAACTGGTGAGTGAGAGCCAGCTCTGTGATTTGCAGTACCCAGTGCAAAATGCTAGAACCCCTTATTTAAAAATTATGCCATATTTCACAATGGCAACAGCAAAGCATTAAGCTAAACATGGTGCCTGTGTGAACACACTGGTCTCATCTCCATGCAGCTAGCCCCAGCTGAGTTGGGACTCATCCAAAAGCTCAGAGTCCCGGCCTCACGTGGCCTTCACGTGGCCCACATGCCAGGAAGTACAGCAGGCGAGGCCTTGCTCCTGAGGACCCCTCTCCTGGCTTTACCCAACGCTTGCCTGTCCTTCAGCCCTTCCCTTTCCCGTTAGAGCTTCACTTCTTGGTGTGTGATGTAGCCATCTCTGCACCATGAGCCTCATCTCCCATTCCTCCTCTCTGGGAAAGAGTTTTCTGCATCTTTTCTGGTAGTGGTTTTGCCAAGTGAGGGTGGAAAGAGCAGGAAGGCACGTGCTGTGCAGGGCAGAGAAAGTGCTGGCTCTGGAGGAAGGACAGGCTTGTGGTGGTAGGAGACTTTTTCAGTACCTTGAGGTACTTTGATTCTCAGCTCTCCCACTCAGTTCCCTTTCTCCACAGGTTAGATACTGCTCCTTCCTGAGCTTCACGCTCCTTTTCTGTGTTAATGGAAGAGCTGGACTTAGAGTCCTTTCCTGTCACCTCAGATATCTGATGGGACTGACATTCTCCAGCTTGATACTTGGCCCTTGTGGAGAAGACCCTCTCCCTGGCAGCCTTCTGAGTAGCCCCTGTGTGACCCCTCTGCCCAGGGAGGCTGGGGTTCAGCCTGTATCACAGCCGGAGCCCCAGCAGTCCACTCAGGAGCATCCCAGCCTAGCACCTCCTGCCTCACCCCTAGAGCTGCCCAGGACAGGGTCTGCACAGACTCCGAGAATGGTGCTGCTGCTCCTTGCTGGGGTGCATGGAGGGGCTGAGGCTTGGCTGCCCCAAGGCTGTGTGTCACATACCCCCAGGCCCATGGTTACTATAGCATATGGGAGATTCAGGAAAACAAATGGGGCCGTCAGGGAGACATGGGGCAGGAGATGTCCACCTTCATCTTCAGCAGGTCGAGTTGTGTCTTGGTATAATTTAATTTGATCCGAAAGTGGCACCTCTGAGGAATGTTTGAACTTTGCTGATCTGTCCCATCCCAGAGGCCTAAGCAAAGAAGTAGAGGAATAAAGGTGGTTGTGAGCTGAAAACCCAGGCATCTGGGCCCCTGTGCTGGCTGTTTGCTCTATCCTGACTACTTCAGAAAAGCTTGCCTTAGTCTCAGGGGGAAAGGAAATCTTCATACATCTTAAAATTCTTTGGGGTTCAGCTGTTGGGAGAGGCTCAGCAATGAGGCTCCTTGGCTGCTGGGAGCAGCCCCACCTCCTTCACCACCTGGTGCCTTGTCCCTGGAAGGGGAAGAAATGGAAGTAGGTTTGCATGTATCTGTTTGCAAGTATCTGCTGGAGGCTCTCAGCCAGCCAGGATACCAAGGGAGGTGTTTCCCAAGAAACACTTTTCTTAATAAGGCCTGGGACATTTGAAGGCAAATTAATTGGTGTGGTTTCTTGACAGCATCTTGTTCTATCCTCTGTCCTGCTGGCCTTCACCCCCAGCTTGCCCTGTACAGCATGCTAGAATGGCATCATACCAGGCCCTGAGTGATAGGGGGTCCTGCGGCCAGGCTAGAAGCATTTGGAGATTGGAGAAAGAATGAGAGGCAGCCAGGGGAGCGGCTGGACCCAAGCATGGCCTCCAAGCAGGGTGCACAGCTCCTGGCCGGTGTTAGGGAGCTGAGCAGCCACCATTACCAGCTGCCAGTGTGACATGCTCACTGTGTGCCAGATGCCACATGAGGTACTGTCCACCCATCACCTTCTTTAATATCCACCATGACAGCATGAGGCAGATATGATTGCCAGCTCTGTTCATTTGGCTGAAAAACGATAGTTATGTACCTACCAGATGCCAGGCACAGGGCTGTGTGCTGAGGATGCAGTGTTGAACAAAAATTGCATCCTATCCCTCTTAGGGTGCCACATCCAGCTGAGAGCCAGAGAGGAAATGGGTTTCTACAAACCATCATGGTAGGGAAGTAGAATGGGCTCTCAGGCACATGCTGTGCAGAGCAGAGAAAGTGGGGTCAAGGAGGGCTTGGGAGCAGGGTGGGAGAAGGGCTGGGAGGAGAGCCTGGAGGTCAGGGCTGTGCACCTGCCCAGGTAGTGCTGAGGGCTACTCAGGCCTGCCTTGCCTCAGCATGGGAGCCTGGGACATGGCCTACGTGGGGCCCTTCAGATCTCCCATCCAGGAAGTCCATATCCTTCCAGGGCCCAGTCTCCTGGGTAAGCCTCTGAGCAGTAGGGAGCCACTGACACATCTCAGGATTGGTAAGGTTCCCTGAACCTCCTGTATGACAATCTGCCCATGGTCCATGGCCTCAGGTTGTTCATTGTCTGTGGTGCCAGAAGGAAACCGGTTTTCAGAAGGAAGCCCCCAAGGCAGCAACAGAAAATGAGCATGTTTGTTCTGTTCTTCCCTGTGCGCCAGGAGACTGGCCTTTTGGAAGCATGGAGAAGGCTCTCAGTAAGAGGCATGGCTGGTTTCTGTAGGCAAATGTTTCTCAGCCCTGCAAAGCTTTGAGCCATTAGAACCTGGAATCATGGGCTTGGCACAGAGAGCAAAGGCAAAGGCAAAGGCAAAGAGTGGATGGAGGGTAGAAGCCAAGATTGGAGGATCCACCTCTGCTGTGCTCCACAGATCACAGGTTCTGTGATCTAGGCTAAATGAGAATAATCTGGGCAGTAGTGGCTGAGTAGCCAGTGTTTACTGAATCCTAACTGTGTGCCAGGCACTATGCTAGGAGCTTTGCATGTGTTTAATCTTCACAACACAATTCCTGGGCATTTACTAAGGGGAGACTGAGGCACAGAGGGGTTTCATACTCTGATGTCCCTCCCATAGTGGGAGGTGGAGGAGGTCTGATTCGGAGCCACAGTTGCCATCTCTGCTTTTGCCCTGGGATTTGTGGCAGCTGTGGTTATGATAATGTTGGTAACATTGGGCCCACCTGGGCCTTTGCACAAACCCATCATGCACACAAGTAGCTTCAAACTTTAGGGAGAAGTGGGCTGGGAGCATGTCTCCAGAATTACATTGTCAAAATAATGGGCATAACTTGTGGGTTCCAAGGGATTATTGTGAATTCTGTGGCATTGGGCTGCCCCTCTGGTCTCCCTTGCCCTCAGCTGCTTGGAGGAAGGACTTTGGTGGCAGCAGATGCTGGACAGGATCAACTACTGGGAAAGAGAGGGGAGGCGGATGGAGAGTCACCAGGCAGTGTTTTCTTCCAGGAATCTCTCCAGAAAATGAGAAGGAATGTGGTTTTCTTTCACTTGTTCCTCAGGAACCCTCTAGGCTAAAGTTAGAAAACTCAGACTCATCAGGACAGGGAGCTAACATACATGTAACCTCCTGAGTTAGTCCATTCTGTTGCTGCTAATAAAGACATACCTGAGACTTGGTAATTTATAAAGAAAAGAGATTTAATTGACTCACAGTTCCACATGGCTGGGGAGGCCTCACAATATGGCAGAAGGTGAAGGAGGAGCAAAGTCACATCTTACATGGCAGCAGGCAAGAGAGCGGGTGCTGGGGAGCTCCCTTTACAAAACCATCAGACCTCTTGAGACTTATTCACTATCATGAGCCTAGCATGGGAAAGACCCACCGCCATGATTCAATTATCTCCAACCAGGTCCCTCCCATGACACATGGGAATTATGGGAGCTATAATTCAAGATGATATTTGGGTGGAGACACAGCCAAATCATATCACCTCCCACAGCATTGCAGTAAATGCAGTTTATTTGACACAAGACCGGCCATGCCACATGGGAGACAGAGTTATTCCTCAAATCAATCTCATAGAAGGCTCATAGGTTAGGGCTTTTTCAAAGGTGGTTTGGGGGAAGGGATGGGGATAGCTAGGCAGTGGGTGCTTGCTGCTGATTGGTTGGCATACAATTATAGCGGTGTCGGAAATGGTCCTCCTATGCACG